CGGTTCGAATCCCCGTCACACCAAACATGCCAACCTCCGCCTTTGCCTGGTCCCAAGTCCAGGATGAGACATATATTTACAATTACATGATGATACTAGTAGCTGTTGTGATTTAGTAGAACTATAATTAAAGTATATTGAATTATGAATCACTAAATCACAACAGCTATTGGTATCATCGTGTCACTGCCATGATATACATAGTTGAATTATGAATCACTAAATCACAACAGCTATTGGTATCATCATGTCACTGTAAAGATTTATATAGTTTAATTATAGTACCACTAAATCCCAATAGCTACTGGTATCATCATGTCACTGTAAAGATATATATAGTTTAATTATAGTACTACTAAATCACAACAGCTACTGGTATCATCTTGTCGCTGCCATGATATACTATGTATATCATGGCAGTAACACGATGATACCAGTAGCTGTTGTGATTTAGTGGTACATAATTTAACTATGTATATCATGGCAGTGACACGATGATACCATTAGCTTTTGTAAATAGTGTACAGTAATTAAACTATATAAATCTTTACAGTGGCATGAATAAACAAGTAGCTGTTATGATTTAGTGGTACATAATTTAACTATGTATATCATGGCAGTGACACGATGATACCAGTAGCTGTTGTGATTTAGTAGTACATAATTTAACTGTGTATATCATGGCAGTGACACGATGATACCAGTAAATAGTGTACAGTAATAATATTTCAACCACATTATATTCGCCGCATCCATTCTCGATGACGCGTTTCGCTCAATCCAAATATCATCAGGGCACATCAAACACTATGTATGTAAGCCCATTGTTACAATACCAATCTTAATGGTGTGAACACTTTTATGAAGTTGACAAAGCATGAATATGATTAATTTCCTTGTTTCTAGAAATTAGTATTCGGGTGATTATATTTTATAACACGTCATTGTATATCTAGTTTGTTGGGGATTTTTTAGAATTAGAAGAATGTACAATATTAGTATTTCAACCAACAATTATTCCCCGTATCCATTGGCGACGACACGTATCACTCAATCCAGAGTTTATCAAACCGGCTGGGACACACCAAGTATGGCAATGTGTTTAGAATACTATTATCGTAGGGCCTACGTCCTTCTAATTCTTAAAAATCCTTAGAAACTAGATATAAAATACAAGGTTGAAAAAATACAATAAGCCTAATACTAATATTATGATAAACAATAAAACGTACACAAGACTGCACTTTATTTCAATGGATTAAAAATACAAATATATATAAACATGATTAATTATATATGAAATTATGCATTATTTACACGTACTTGCAATTATAGAGAGCTTTAAAAACAGAAGTAAAAGTGTAATATAAATATACATCTAACAGTATGACAGGAACAAAATGTTAAAATAAACATTATCTATTCATAACACAATGTATATAAGTAACTGAAGCGCAGACAACATACGTAAGATGAAAGTATAGAATAAAAGGTATATATATATACAGAAGTAAGAAGAAATACACAAATATAGAAGAAAATATAAGAAGAATAAAATATATATCGAAGTTTTATTAAAGAGGCTTTAGAGTGTTTATGTCGTGTGCTTGATTAGAAATCTAGTAAACTAAAATATATAATGAGAAATTTTCAAATCATGTAGGTTTTGTATGATATACTTACACTTCTCAACAAAGGAGTCTGTATGGTAAGCCAGTAGAATGATTTACTTAGCATTGTTAAGCTAGGAGTCTCTATGGTGATCAACTGGAGTAATTTACTTACCATTCTTAAGATATGAGTCCCTATGGTAAGCTAGTGGAGTGGTTAACTTATCATTCTTATGATAATATTCTATATGTTAAACCAAAGGAGTTATTTACTTACCATTCTTAAGATAGGAGTCTGTATGTAAGCCAGTGGAGTTATCTTCTTACCATTTATAAGATAAAGGTCTGTATGTAAGCCAGAGGATCTATTTACTTACCATTCTTAAGATAGGAGTCTGTATGCAAGCCAGAGGAGTTATTTCTTACCATTCTTAAGATAGGAGTCTGTATGTAAACCAGAGGAGTTATTTACTTACCATTTATAAGATAAAGGTCTGAATGTAAGCCAGAGTAGTTATTTACTTACCATTCTTAAGATAGGAGTCTGTATGTAAACCAGAGGAGTTATTTCTTACCATTCTTAAGATAGGAGTTTGTATGTAAGCCAGAGCAGTTATTTACTTACCATTCTTAAGATAAGAGTTTGTATGTAAACCAGAGGAGTTATTTACTTACCATTCTTAAGATAAGAGTCTGTATGTAAGCCAGTGGAGTTATTTACTTACCATTTATAAAATAAAGGTCTGTATGTAAGCCAGAGGATCTATTTACTTACCATTCTTAAGATAGGAGTCTGTATGCAAGCCAGAGGAGTTATTTACTTACCATTCTTAAGATAAGAATCTGTATGTAAGCCAGAGGAGTTATTTACTTACCATTCTTAAGATAGGAGTCTGTATGTAAGCCAGAGAAGTTATTTACTTACCATTCTTAAGATAGGAGTCTGTATGCAAGCCAGAAGAGTTACTTACTTACCATTCTTAAGATAGGAGTCTGTATGTAAGCCAGGGGAGTTATTCACTTACCATTCTTAAGATAGGAGTCTGTATGTAAGCCAGTGGAGTTATTTACTTACCATTCTTAAGATAATAGTTTGTATGTAAGCCAGTGGAGTTATTTACTTACCATTCTTAAGATAGGAGTCTGTATGTAAGCTAGTGGAGTTATTTACTTAACATACTTAAGATAGGAGTTTGTATGGTAAGCCAGAGGAGTTATTTACTTACCATTCTTAAGATAAGAGTCTGTATGTAAGCTAGTGGAGTTATTTACTTAACATACTTAAGATAGGAGTTTGTATGGTAAGCCACTGGAAGGGAGAACAGCTTGGAGTTTATTCCTTTATAGAATTAACTTTAGTTACTGGATTGGTTGTAGAAGGAAGTTTGTTCGTTAGAAATTTTCTTTTTTATCAGATATTACAATGACACAAATGTAACATATGACGAATATTCACACTTTTAAACAAACCTTTCTGTAAATGACGTTTCTAGCCTTCGGGTGGAGCCACATTTGAGTAACATCTTGATCATATCAACGAACCAAGAATACAATTTTGATAAAATAATTAGCACAAAGGATCACATATAAAATGTAATAAACATAAAATAAGACCCAAAACTCGAGCGCTTTCGAATAGTTGACTATTCTTCTTCAGGAGAACAAAGGGTGACCTTTAATAATGGTTGGAGACGGCTTGAATGGGTAATGAAGAAAAACTTTAATATAAGTTTAACACAACAGCAAGTGTACAGCGTTTAGACAAGGTTTTGTCATCATCTGGTGACCAGCCAATCCCAACTCAAGCCGTTAGTCTCCCAGAAGGGAGAATTCGTTTGTAGAGAGAAAAAACAAAAAAATTATTATTAATTTTCATTATGTATGAAACTTTTGACTGATAGAGGTTGAAGCTATTCGGCGTTACAGTATTTAACAGTGCTATCCAGTAAGTTTCTTTAATTTCCTTGTTTTTGTTTGATGTAAAATTTGTCTCTATACCTATCAGTATCATGTCGTTAAAAAAGTGGTCAGGCATGTTGAAACGCTCTGCAACCGGAAGTTCTTTGTTCGTTTTTAGTTGTTTTAGTTTTGCCTACATACTGGAAATTGCATTTTCGGCACTGGATAAAGTAAATAGCGTTTTTTGTAGTGCAGGTTATGGGTTTATTGATTTTGAACTGTCTTTGGTTGTCTTTATCAGAGAAATTGTTAGTCTGCTGCATGAACTTACAGGTTTGACAAGGTTTGCCATTGCGTGGATAATTTCCACCAGGTGTCGCATTAAAGTTAACTTTGGCATGCATTAATTGGGATTTCAAAGTCTTATTTTTCCTAAAAGAAGCAACAGGAACTTCCGTAAAAATAGTTTCTAGTCTATCATTAAGATGAAGGAGGTAAATGTGCTTTTTCAGTATCCAGGGTAGATTTTTTAATTTTGGGTGATATGTGATAACTAGTGGAACACGAGAGGAATTTGTTTTAGGTGACTGTTTCAAGGCAGATACACGTGGAATATTGTTAGCTTTGTCAACTTGTTGAATAACAGTGTTTTGTTTATACCCTCTTTCGGTCATAGTTAATTTCAAAGAATCAATGTGACGGACATAGTTCTTACTGTAAGAACATATTTTCTTTAATCTAAGTGCTTGACTGAATGTAATATTTCGTTTGGTGTGTGGAGGGTGACAGCTTTGAAAATGTAAGTATTGTGGTCTATCAGTCGGTTTACGGTACAAATCAGTATGTAGGAAACCATCTTTTAATGTCAGGTTTACATCTAAAAAACTTATTTGAATAGCGGAGTAATCTAGAGTAAATTTAATAGAAGTGTGGAAAGAGTTTGTATGTTTATAGAAAGATAGTAAGGAGTCTTCGTCTCCTACGTATCGTTTCTAAATGTTTGGTTTCTTTTTATAACTTTCCAACAGTCTCGTCTCTAAGTCTCCCATGAAAACATTGGCATAGTTTGGTGCCATCTTGGTCCACATAACTGTGCCTTTTGTCTGAGTATAGAATTCATTATTAAATTCAAACCCGAACTAGTTTAGCTAAGTCTACAATAGTCTGAGTGTTGGGTTTGTCAAGTTTCAAAAGGGAAGATTCAAGAGCTTTCAGGCCTTCGTCGTGGGGAATGTTTGTGTAAAGAGAAGAAGCATCCATGGTGCAGAGAATAGTGTTTGGAGGTAATTGTCCGTTGTTGTTAATGTCAGAGATCATGTTCAAAAAATGGGTTGTGTCTTTAATATATGACGTCAAACGTGGAGGGATATCGTTGATGTGATGATCAACGTAAGCGGATAAGTTCTCGGTGGGCATACCGCAATTGGAAATAATAGGACGACCGGGATTGTTAGGTTTGTGTATCTTTGGTAATATGTAAAAGCGACCTGGAACTGGGTGTTTAGGTGAAAGGAACTGTAAAGTTTCACGACTTATGTGTTGGTTTTTCTGTAAACTACATAGCTTGTCTTCGATTATTTTAACAAATTCTGGGGTGGGGTCGAAATATACTTTTTATAGTACTTTATGTCATTAAGTTGTCGGTAAGCTTCGTTAATATAGTCGGATTTGTCCTGAATGACAATGGCGCTGCCCTTGTCAGCTTGTTTAATAATAATGCCATTGTCATGTTTCAGTGAAATTAGAGCAGCACGTTCGTTGTAGGATAGATTATTCCGTACTTTTAAGTCAGAGTTAATGGCTTGAATTACTTCATTCTCAATTGCAGTAATAAAGCGCTCTAAGTGTGGTTCTCTGTTGACTGGAGGGTGACCAGGTGGAATTTTCTTTAAACTGTGTACCTATGTCGTTTGTGTAAGTGGTTTTATTGTGGAAAAATTTCCGAAGTCTTAATCTGCGTGCAAATTCTTGAAGGTCGGAAATAACTTCGAAATTATCTATGTTCTTAGGGGTAGGAGAAACTTTGAGACCTTTACTGAGAAGGTTGTGTTGAGTTTCAGTTAATATTTTAGATGACAGATTTACGACATTGGAAGTGTTTTTGGGTTTGGGTCTCTCCGATAAGGAAGTAGTTGAATTGGATGAGTAACGAGTAGAGTTTATTTTATGAGCCAACTGAACGTGCGAGTTTGTATTATTTGAGTTATTGGTCAACGAATCACAGGTAGCGTCAGTAGGGGCTTATTTAATGTTATTATTTCGTCCTACTATATATTGCATTGCGCAGGCTAAAGGTCACCCTTTGTTCTCCTGAAGAAGAATAGTCAACTATTCGAAAGCACTCGAGTTTTGGGTCTTATTTTAAGCAATAACCTATGATAGCCAATAGATAAATATACAGAACTAAACTTATTAAAGTTTATTTTCATTGTTTTATATAAAAAAATCAAATTGTTAATCAAAACTCACAACGTAAGTAAATAAATATATAACTCATTTAGTGATCAGTTGGTTATTAATGACATTTCTTTCAGTAAACGCATTGAGAATTTCCAGATATGGTCAGATTGGTTTATTTAGGTTAAACTAACAACCACTTCGTTATATCAACATCCATAGAGCCAGAGGTTTGTATCTATTTAATTACATCCGATATCTGTTATCCTCTTTCATCAGTTTTTTTTTAATTTGCTTTAGTGTAAAACTGTCAGTAGATTAATTAGGCTTCAAATTGTAATACTTTTTTTTAATTTGCTGTTGTCTACCTACAGCTTTTCTGTACCTACGTTTCTGCAGCTTCTCTAATAATAACGGTTACTTATTACTGAAGAAACTAGCTCACAGTCTGTCTATTTATATTTACTCTTTGGAAATACGTTTGGTAGACACTCCCACGTTCTGATGATCTGTCAGCATTGTTAACCTAATGTCAGTTGTGGTTTCATACAGAGAAAGATAAACATAAAACAGCAAATAGATTTAATTATTCTCAAAATTAGAGGTCAATACCCGCAGCGGGCATACTGCAGATAGCTCTTTGTGAAGCTTTGTTTTAAAACAAACAAAAGATCTTTACACTACATCACAACAAGACTGATAATAATTTCTAACAAACCTTTCATTACTCCTCGAATCCGGTATGGAACGAAAGGCCTCGTCAGAAGCGGCGTGCAGCACACAAGAGTGTGGTTGAAGCGCTATTAAGTTTTCTGACTGGAAATCCGTGGGGGTCCAGTAAAGAAAGATTTGTTTTAAGTGACGTAATATCACACAAACAATCAATCGACACATTACGCTTCGCTGGAATAAGGCGTTTATTATATGTATATATAAAGATAGTTCACACTATTAAGTTTTCTGACTGGAAATCCGTAGGGGTCCAGTAAAGAAAGATTTGTTTTAAGTGACGTAATATCACACAAACAATCAATCGATACGTTACGCTTCGCTGGGATAAGGCGTTTATTATATGTATATATAAAGATAGTTCACACTATTAAGTTTTCTGACTGGAAATCCGTAGGGGTCCAGTAAAGAAAGATTTGTTTTAAGTGATGTAATATCACACAAACAATCAATCGATACATTACGCTTCGCTGGAATAAGGCGTTTATTATATGTATATATAAAGATAGTTCACACTATTATAAATAAGTGTTCTCCAAAAGTTTTTTTTTCATGCCTAGGATTAACTGGTGGCTTCCTGCTCTTCCCTTCTCTCTATTAATCTTCATCTATGACGAGATCCGTCGCCTTACTCTGCGGAGAAGTCCGGGTGGTTGGATGGAACACGAAACCTATTACTGATCCTAGATCTTTGTCGTCTGCTAGCTAAATGTAAAATGTAGACTTGTACACTCCTCGACCCATCCCGTGACAACCGAACTCACAGGCCGATGTCATTCTCTTCTAGAACTTTAGAACTGTGGAGTTCTTCTCCTGGATGTTTTATGTGTTTATTAAAAGGAAAAAAAAGTTTTGTTAGAAAGCTTAAATAGAATACAAGCGATCAAGCTCTACAAGGGTGGATAAGAACAATGTATTAGATGTAGCGGTATCCCCCTTTTATTTCTTGCATTTAAACTGTTCTATTTTCGGTGTGACACATTATTATCCACTCATGTGTATTTAATTTATTGATATATTGTCTTAATTTATGTTTGCTCTGTTCTGTAGTTCTGATATTTAAACACACACATATATACATAAGTATAACTTCATTGTAAGTTAGATTTTTTTTTAATTCTCACTTTGTGAAAATTTTAGGTTATATTATGAAATTTGACGTTTGTGTCAGTTTTGTTGTATGTAGGTGTTGCAGCTTTTGCTACACGTTTTTATATTTTCACTCCATTCGTGATAATTAGAATTCACAAATGGGTTTTACTTTTTTAGCGCATTTTGACTAAGTGATGTTAACTGGCACAAATTGTATGTATTGCTATAGCTTATAGAATGTGTGTGTGTGTGTGTAGAACAAGCAAGAAATGAGCTATATGCAAATCATAGTAACATAGTTCTAAAAATATTAACATAAGAATTTCCCCAAGCTTAAAATTCACCACGTGTTTACATGTTTCGTTAGACTAACATTCAGTTAGTCAGCAGTAGAATATATATATATGCATACTCTTGTAAGGCTGAACATTTATGTGGGTAATAGTGTTATAAATTAGAGTAGGGTTAGACATTGGTCATTGATACTTATCCTGCCACGTTCATATTTGCTAAGTTAAATACTATCACGCCTTGTGAACGTGTTTCAGTAAGCGCTCTCTTCTGTTTAACACCCCGACCTTGCTTCAAGTGGTATAAAAAGTACTAAAGATTTTCAAAGTTTCTAGAATCTCTATTTCTTTACCTCTTCTTGTTTTGAAAGTTTTAGATATAATATGTTATACAATTCCTCAAAATAACAAATACTATATATATATATACATATAATCACGATGAAAGAACTAATGGACTAAAATAATAATCAACATGTAGGTCACATTTAGGTCTGAAAATTCGAAACTAAACGAATACGTCTGGTTATTTGTCGTGCTTTAATTTAACACCAAATAATTACATCTGCAATTTTTTTCAAAAAATATAAGTAATGCGTTAAAAGTTAGCTAAAACACAATTTTGAAGTTAATGTAAATATTTCTAAAATATGCGTTTGTAATTTGTATTAGAAAGTCGTACACTCAAAAAAAAATCGTTTATAAAACAGCTATCACAACAGATAACATGAATGAATCAGATTGTTTGAATGATTAAAAAAACATTGCTCCAATTACAATATAAAATTAAAATAGTCTCCCAATCGCTCACTGGTAAGGTTTGAGGTTCTCTAACGCTAAAATTCGAGGTTAAATTCCTGCTGTTGGTACAGCCCATTGTGCTTATTTCCACTTAAATAAACAAACACAATGAACACAGTCCTCCTTCCAACGGCTCAGTGGTAAGGTTTAGGGATTTATATCGCTGAAATTTAGGGTTAGCACCTTTGCGCTTAAACAAACAAAATTAAAATAACTTTGGTTTAGTAGTAATGGATAGCTTTGGGTCATATATATATATATATATATATAGCATTTGTAAAATGTGGTACAGTGATTGAATTTGAATACCATAACACTGATAAAACGTTCTAGATGTTTCAGTGCATATTCCTACAATATAACTGGTAAAACAAGTTATTTTTTGTGAGTACGGTAATAATTTTACTTTTTTACCAGAAGTCATGTAAAGTGTTGCTGTTGAAATAGAAATCTATTTCCTTCTGTCACGGACCACACCTACCGTGTCTTGGAGCTGTGACGTTAGGTTTGTTACTTGATTTTAAAGTTACTGTTGTATCCCATTGTTCTCTGTTGTCATCTTACTTTTATTGGTATCTAATGTATTCTCATTATGCTAATTTCATGAATAAAAATGCACTCCTCAACTACAGGGTTTTACTCTGTAGAGTGCCATATGACGTACGTAAGGATTATCTGAGCGTCATAACGTATTATCTTCTTCTGTGTTGATTAACTTCGTACTAAATGACGATGTTGTATTTCATAGATTTAGCAACAAAAAAAAAAGCTTATTGTATAAAATATATATTTAAAATGTGGCCCGGCTGAAAGACTAGTGTTGCCATTTTTAGGATAATAAAGTTTTATCTTTTATTGTACACGTTTGTGTACAAATCACTGATGTCAAACGGAAACACATACAAAGAAACAAACGATGGACCAAATGCTTAATGTGTGAAAGTAAAATTAAGGTTCTTTATGAACACACATAGGAAATGATGAAATTAGTCATGATTAATATAAATATAGTTAGGGAGGAAAAGTGGTTGTACGAAAGAGTTAGTCAATAAAGGATGATTCCTCAAAAACTTGGTGTTTTCAGGGGTTGTTGTTGGTGTAGAAAAACGAAAGTTAGACAATTATTTAGACATTAAATAAGCACATTCTAAAATGCTGTAACTTTATAATATAAAAGCATAACAAAGGAAACAAACATTGTTTGAAATACATGTTTAGCAAGTATAAATCAATAAGATATTTTGAAATATACGGTCAACAACCTTAGCAAGTTTCCATATAACTCTTAGACAGTTTAACACAAAACATATATGTGTCTTTCTATCTTAATATACGGTCAACAACCGTTGCAATTTCCATATACAAAATGTTTCATCTTTTATTTATTAAAAGCAACCAACTGTATCGCCCTTTATTCAGTAAAAGCAACCAACTGTTTCACCTTTTATTTATTAAAAATAATCAAATATTTCATCTTTTATTTATAAAAAGTAATCAACCGTTTTTTTCTTTTATTTATTGAAATTAATAAACTATTTCACCTTTTATTTATTAAAAGCAACTGTTTCGTCTTTTATTTATTAAAAATATTCAACTATTTAATCCTTTACTTATTAAAAATAATCAACTGTTTCCTCTTTTATTATTAGAAGTAATCAATGTTTCATATTTTATTAAAATCACATTGAAGTATTTTAGTTTGAAATATATTCAGCATGTTGACACAAAATAACACTGATTTTCGCTTAACTTCCTTGTTGATAGATGGCGCGCCTTGATAACATTTTTTTATCAAAGTATCATTCTACACCAACAAATACTGAATTTACTTAAATCCATTATAAAATATACTCTTCATGATAGTCTTGTTCATAAAGAAAAACAATGAATTTTCTTCCAAATTTTGTTTACTGTCTTTCGCATTACTAGTAAACAAATATTCTCTCTTCGATTTGTAGCTAAATAGTTTAGAAAATAATATTAATAATTACTAATACATTATTATAATATAGGTATAATTTTTTAAAACATTTATTATTCGCGCATAGTAGGATTACAGCTTATAATATATAAAGCAATCACTTATAAATTTATTTTTTTTTTTCTCGGAATGGAAATGTGATAGACTTAGGGTTAGTTAATTTCAAAACAAAACAAAATTATATAGACCTTCAGATCAACATTTTCGCTTTCTTTCATTCTAAATTTTCATTTTTTTTTCGGAATAGAAATGTGATAGACTTAGGGTTAGCTACTTTCAAAATAAAACAAGATTATGTAGACTTTCAGATTAATATTTCCTCTTTGTTTTATTCTCATTCTAGTTTGCACACATATTACTACACATTGTCAGGCTTTATGGACAAGTACCTAAGTTGTTGAACCGTATAACTACTTTACATCACAGTATTTAAGTGTTTTGTTTTGGTGGAAATATAAAAAATTCAAGAAATCTAACAACAGAAATCTCAGCGAAAGTTAAATTAATATGGTGTGTCTCAGATTTAGTTTTGTTCTACTCAAGACGTAGTAGATAGATACATTTGCTATCACTACAACAAATAAATTTTGCACTCAAGTTCGAGTAGTTTAGAAATCATATAAGACAAGATTTCATATTATAACCTCATGTTATATGGAACATGAACAAAGAAAATTATATTTTTGTAATACCAGCCAATAAAGGATGAACGGTATAACAAAGTGAAATATCCAACAAAACTCAAGGGATTGAAAACTAAGGCAAAAAATGAAACTTTTCAATGTGATTAACAAGCACTAAATCAATATCGAAAAATAAAGATATTTTCTGAACATATTTCACGATAGTTCTTATCTTTAAGGTGTACCGAATATATTCAAACCTAATCTATCCTCCACCTCCTATTCTTTATGACTTAAGCAACGTGTTAACTGCTCAAAATAACTTGTTTGACTTGTGGTCTGGTTGTATTCACAATTAGACTGTCTTTGAATAGAGATTATGTTCATGTAGTGTCCTGGCAAGGCCTGGTGATTAGGGTGCTCGACTTGCAATCTGTAGGACGCGAGTTTGAATTCCGTCACCGAACATGTTCGTCCTGTCAGCCGTAGGGGCGTTATAATGTGACGGTAAATTCCACTTTGGGTTGGTAAAGAGTAGCCCAACAGTTGGCGGTAGGTGGAGTTTACTGCCTGCCTTCCCTTTAGTCTATTACTTTTAAATTAGGAACGGCTAGCGCATATGTACCTCGAGTAGTTATGCGCGAAATTCACCAAACACACAAACACTTAAGACATACTTATCCAATCAAATTATTTTATGATTTAGCTAAAACCAACCATATATAAAAATAAAGTCTGCTTATCACAGACTCAGGATGCAACTTAATTACGTGAGTCAAGTAGTTAACGTGTTACTTAAATTATAAAGTAACTCTCTGTTCTGTTACTATTCAGTAATGCAACTCCTGCTTTCAAATTATTACTATTCTATAAAAAATTAAAGTAAATTTATTGACTGTATCCTTAACCGAACAGAATCCAATTATAATTAACTTCTCATCAAAACAAGCTACCTACGTAAATCAGAACTTAAAATAGAATACAGTACATACTATAGCTTATATAATATACCGTTTTAACCAGGTGTATGCAAAGTTGTAAAAAAAAAACTTATAATGACTACAATACATTGATTTGTCAGTTGGGTAAGAACCGATCATATTGCCAGTAATCTTATGTTAACCCTTACTCATAGAACATATTTATAAAATGCAGAGAGGGGGGGGGGGACGCAGATTGTATACAGAGTGCATGAGAAAGGCTTCAGGCCAAAACGATTGAGTAAAAAACTCACTGGTGAGACAAACCGCAGATTATAAGAATCACTTGATATTGTGTCACTCGCATGGTAGTAGCAACTGACAACGTCTGAATACAGGCCCATGCGAAGGCCTTAAACAATTGTTTGTAGTTAAGCACAAAGCTACACAAAGGGCTATCTGTGCTCTGCCCACCACGGGTATCGAAATCCGGATTCTAGCGTTGTAAGTCCGCAGACATACCGCTGTGCCCCTGGGGGCAGACTTAAACAAAGCAAACATAATAAAAAAGTAGAAGAAAAAAATCCAAAAGAATCTCATGCCATTCAAGCTGATAACTGTAAAGCGCCAGCAGCTATAAGACTTAACGATGGCCAGAATTTTCTCAGTGCTTTATTGATACTAATCATTGAAAAAATAAATAAGAAAAAGAAGGGTTTATCTAAAACACCTTTATATTATTTGTATACTTTTGTACTAAATATTTATTTGTTTGAATTTGAGATTAACATCTTCAACACTAGATGGCGCGTGCTGCTCAGTTATGATGGGACTACTGGGCCCATATATTGAACTGCGCTCGCAAATTTACTACTTATGGTGCCCTCGTTAAAATACGTCATTAAATATTATAACTCTGTGTAGAAGAAACACAAGAATAACTTTCAATAACTAGAACCTATACTAATTTAGTTCTCTCAGTGATAAAATTGGTGTTTTTTTCCAACGTTTGTTTGTTTATTTGTTTTAGGGCAAAGTCACATTGGGCTATCTGCTATGTCCACCGAGGGGAATCAAACCCCGGATTTTAGCATTATAATTCCGCATATTTACCGCTGTCCCACCAGGTAACATTCGAGTTTGTGAATTTTGTTTACTAGTATTGTATTATTTATTGAAATTTGATACTTCAGGCAGATACAGCGCAGAAAACCCACAATATAATTCTGCACCAAGACCGAAAACGAACATAACATAAGAACAATTAACCATAACTAAATTTTAATAGCACACGAAGCATACGAAAGTCAGAAGACATGGAATGAAGAAAATGCTGTAGTTTAGTAAAATAAAAACTGAAAATCGAGAATCTCATAACGATTTTGCTTTAAATAATACAAATTATCTTTCATTCTCTGGAAACTATCCATTTCATAACAGTTTAAAGGAGTAAAACAAAGAGTGTTATTTGTTAAGATGAATCAACCACTTCTCAGTGGGATGTATAAAAATAAAATCATGAAGAACATTTCTTCATTTGAAACTTTTAACATCTGACGTTTAATTTCTGTTCTCACGATAACAACAACAACAAAAAGCTATAAAACTAATAGATAAGACCTAAGATATATCTTATGAATTTTAAGGATTGCTACAAACATTTATCAAACTGAGCAGGTTATTCAACAACCTTAAAATAAAGGCCCGACATGGCCAGGTGGTTAGGGAGCTTGACTCACAATCTGAGGGTCGCAGGTTCGAGTCTTCGTCCCACCAAACATGCTCGCCCTTTCAGCAGTGGGGGCATTATAATGTGACATTTAATTCCATTATTTGTTGGTAAAATAATAGCCCAAGAGTTGGCGGTGGGTGGTGATGACTGACTGCCTTCCCTCTAGTCTTTCACTGCTAAATTAGGGACGGCTAGCGTAGATAGCCCTTGTGTAGCTTTGCACGAAATTCAAAAACCAAACCTTAAAATACAAAATATATTTTTCATTCTAGATAACTTCTAGTCAACTAATACCAGAATGTCTATACAATGTTAAAATCATAAAGACTTTTAATTTTCTCTATCTGTACGATGTTTGATGTCAATTTAACGTTTTCAGAAATGCATATCAGGGTAGGTGAATATAACGTCATAACCTTCTTCTATTTTTTTTCCAACCAAAAACATCAACTCTTCCAAATAAATTACAGCACTTCCAGTATAATACATTATAAGCCAACAAAAATACTTTTTATTATTTGTATCTCTAAAATTCTATCACAGTGGTAGGTCTAGTGAGTAAGTATTATTTCGTGGCGGTTTCGATAGACGTAAACTAGGTTTACTTGGACTTTAACTGAGGCTTATTGTATAATGGATGGCCGCAAGAGGCTCACAGTATAAAGGATGGTTGCGTGGTTGATCCAATATATCCCTGATAAAGGTAATGGGTTTGTGATTTTATATAAAGTGGATTACACCAACCAATTGTAAGCTATTCTAAGATATACGATAAGTTTGTAGAAATTAGTAGTTATCTCACAGCAACCAGATA